GCGTCTTTAGAACCTCTTCTGCAGGCTTCTGACACTGCTGCGGGTCAATTTTTTGCTCATAAGCTTGAGAGATTTTCCTTTGAAGCCAATAAGCATCTAGATCCTGTACATTAAGACTCATGCCCTCATTCGCGTCCTGTGAGTCATCATCGTCAATGCCACCGCCCATTTGCATAGCCAAAGAACAATTGGGCTCAGCCACATCATCATCATCCTTGTCACCCTCCTGAACCATATCCAGATCACTCTCTTCCTCTTCATCATCATTCTCTTCAAATTCAACAGCCACGCCCATATTGTTATCGAGTGCCTCATAGCTATTATAGTCATCAAGTGCCTCATCGCCATTAGCAGTGGAAGCCCCAGCATCACTCCCATCTTGATAATCAGTAATAAGCCTTCCAATGGAAACAAACTGATCAAAGATATGATTTGGTAGTTTAACAACTTCTCAATATCCTTCTTCTTATCAGGGTTTTTAACAGTGTCATTCTTAAGAACGGCCAAAATCTCGTCAGCAGCCGCACTACCAATATTAAGAGGCTAACCACCCAACCGTTGTTGAATGACACTGAGCATATATGCTCATAGGCATCTCTGGTTTCCTCGGTCGTGGGCTGGTAAAGCCCTTCCTCAGAGGAAGTAAGAACACTCTCTTGACGAAGACGACATCTCTTGCTCTGTCGAGGAACAGGTTCAGCAAGCGGATCACGCTCCTTCTTCTTCTTAGATTTCTTTAATTTCTCATCTAACTCGGGGGGTCTGCCCCTGTAAGAACGGTCACCAAAGCTTCTGGGGTCAATCTTACCCCAGAGAGATTCAGGCTCGCCGGTGGGCTCGTGAGTATCACGTGGGCGAGAATCCGTCGTGACAACAAGACTCGAGTTTGCTCTATACTCATATTGCTTGAATCGGGCGTGTGCTTCCGCAGCACCACCCAGATCTGCCATATTGGAAGTATATTTCAAATAAATTCAAACCCCAATTGAAAAGAAAGAAAATGCTATACCCTAACCAAGCCGTAATGAGCAGTCAACTGAATAAGGAAAAAAAAATAAAAATAAATAATAGCAACAATATAAGTATAGAAGGAAAACTGGAAACAAATAGTGAACTCGCGGTTATATAAAGACTAACAAACCGCCAAAGCCCAATACGTGGTAGCGTCTTCAGATTCAGTCCCCGGGTTGTCCGGAGATTTTTGTATTGAATCTAAAGACTACAACATCGCCTTCAGTCTCCGGGTTGTCTGGATATTTTCGTATTCAATCTGAAGACTACAACACCACCTTAAAACTCCAAAGCGGCGGGAAGATGATCAAGGTGAAACGACGTAGTTCACGATGGCTCTATTTCACCCAAAACACTAGCCGTTTATTTTTCCCTGTGAAAATAAAATGAAAAATGAGTAATTAGAAATTAGAAATTGCATATATCAAATAAACAATTACACGTGTCATTAAATTTCAATAGTTTAATAAAAGAGTAATTAATATGTCATAAATTTAAAAAACAAACAACAATAGTAATAAAAAGCCAAATATATTGTAGTTTGCTGTTTGTGTCTGTATGTGCGCACTAACTAATCCATGTAAGTAATAACTATTATAACATCCTACCGTCATGATCATCTATTTAAGATCGTTCAGAGGAATCGAATCCTTCACCACACGTCTCAATGCTCGTATGACCAGTTGAGTTACCAAGGGTGGTAATAGTTATTATTGTGGCTTTTAGGCTATAAGAGAGAGATTATTACCCGAAAGGTTTATAATTAAAAAAAAAAAAAATTTAAATCTAGAGGGTTTCATAAGTAATTAAGAAGCCCAAATGTTATAATGTAATGAAAATTTTCTCAAAAAATTTAGTTATTTAAATCCGTAATCTAGCATACTAAATCATAATACTACTAAAATATGAATAAAAATTCTAATACTGCTAAAACAATGAATTATAAAATACAAAATCAAATAATATTCAAGATTGAAGAAGACAATGACCCTAAATAGATCCAAGAAGACATCAATAAAGTATCTTGGTTTTTAACTCCTATTAAAAAAAAAAAAATTAAAACTTTAAAGTAAAATCATATTAAACTTTTTCCAGCCATTTTCATTTTTTTAACAAAATTGCCCTTATACGAATTAATTCAATATTGACCTGTAACATCATGGAACATATGATATCAATGAAGCAACTAGAATCCATATGTGCATACTATGTAAAAAAAAAAAATGTTGACGTATAAATAAATTTACAAAGTTAAATTGTAAAAGATGAATGGAAGAGTGAATACAACAAATCATATTTATCAAGTTCACCTTGTACAAAAAATCTTTATAAATTTCTTTGTATGTGTGAAAAAAAAAACCCGATAAAAACCCGATAATGCAATATACAAGATTTAGCAAATTGTCAACAATATTGTATTGTTACTGCTTCTGAGCATACTCTCAATTGTAAAAGAGTTAGAAGAAACAACTTATAACTGCGACACAGAAAAAAAGAGTTCACACTCTAAGCTTAGAAAATCTTTACTCATCCCTTACACTCTCAATCTGGTGTAGAAAATACAGAGAACATATTTTGTTACAATCATAGCCTTTCCCAAACCCTTGCTCTGGCAGTTCAGTGGTAATAGTTTTTCGTGGTTGTAAAACACATGTACTGGAGATTGAGATACTATATACGCAGTTGCTTTGTCCTCCCCACTTTGATGGGTTAATTACCTTGGAACACATCTTGCCATCATTGCCACGAAACAAAGCTTGATCTCATGTAGAGCATATATCCTACCATCAAAAACAATTATGTCCAATATACGCCAACCCTTGTTAACATAATGGTATTCTTTCCACTTCTTATCTCTACAAGTACAGAACTGCAAGCTTGAGCCATACTTAGAAAGAATCATAATAAGAAAATCAAAGATGCCGTGGTCATCACAATCATAATCCATAATTACAAGGAGGCTGGGGCATGCAAGGGAATTGGATTTGATGTCCTGTAAAAGTATTTATAACCCATAAACAACCCCTTGAAACATCTTCTGTCTTGAGACAGAACAAGATTAAGTACCCACTTGAAACACCAAGACATAACTTGAAGTTCCAAATATATCGAGGTAGCTTTCTCTTGTATTCCATTCCAGTAGCTATGTGAAAGAAATAACAATACTTGTTGGGCTGATGCATAAACAACAAGTGGTGAATGAGATGTCAAAAAACTCTGCTTAAATTCTGAATAAAACAATCGCCAACTTCTGCAAACGCGACCAAGGTTTCAATAGTCTACTATATTTAGACTTATAGAAATAATCTCAAGAAGTTCTTGCGGAAGATCAGCCCATGATGATGATCTCTTATAGTGGAGCCTTCTTGCCTGATTGGATCCTCTATTATTCTCTCTTTCCAGCAACGTGCCTGCAATTTTTGTCATAGTTGCAGAGTTATAACATAACCAGAGCTAAAAATATTATTCAATGAATCTCCAAAATCGCCTTCAGTATCCGGGTCCGGAGATTTTTGTATTGAATCTAAAGACTACAACACCGCCTTAAAACTCCAAAGCGGAGGTAAGATGATAAAGGTGAAACCACGTACTTCCATGATTGCTTTATTTAACCCAAAAAAATAACGATGAGGAAGGTCATTGAAAATTTTATTCTCAATTTTTACTCACCCAGTACCCTTTTTGAATCCGATTCTCCCTACAGTACTTTATATCTCTCCTGGAAAAAGTTGATAGGCCAGCCAGATCGAAACACTGTTGGCAATATCTGACCGGTCGTGCACCATTCCGACGACGTTGGTTGATGGTGGACGCCAATGGTTGGTGGTGGTGGTCGACTGCCAGTAGTCCTCTTGGATGGCTTGGCTTGTAAATTGTTTTAAAAACAAAGGCATTATTCTCTAGAACATAATTATTTTGGAATAAAATTGTAATGGCAAGGTTCATGTAAATTAATTTTAAATAAGAGCATTATTGTCCAAAAGTGAAGGGTAGAATTGTAAAAAAATAAAGATTTCCAAGTAATCTTAAAATTCCTAAGAAAATAGAGGTAATCATATTATCTCTTATATAACCAGTTGTAATTACTATTGATTTTGGAAGATTACTGGAATTTTATATTACTTGAATATCAAACGTAATAATCAAGTAATATAAGATGACATTACCTCAATGATCAAGGATTACCCCCAACAAAACACACATCTAGTTTAAAATTCCGCTAAACATTTATGGTCTCAGTGCAACATTTTACATTAAGGAAAAGAGGAAGAATGGGGTTTGAAGAGTAGTTGAAATTACTCAATTAATATGGAGTTAATGGTTTGTAATGCATTCTCACTAATAATCTTTATTTTTTTTTCACTTCTTGATGTTTAGATAGAAGCACATCTCAGAATCATGTTTTTTATTTTGTAATTTCTTTCATGTGCAATATTGATTCTTTCTTGTGCAGTGTTTATTATGTAATCAAGCTACATATCAGTAATGTAATAGAATTAGAAATTTAAGGGTAGTAATTGATCGTTTAGTAAAATTGAGGTACTTTTGAGGGGTTATCTTGCTACTTATGGAAAGTATCAGAATGCATTTTTTTCTTAAGTCATAAATCAGAATTAATATCTTTTTTTTATCTCCATTTACTTGCTTTCCACTCTCGCATCAGATTCTTACTTTGAGAAATGGGAATAACACAAAGCAATGAAAATGAATTACCAAAAGGAAATAAAGCTATATTCCATGCCTTAACCACCTTTAAAGCATCCTAATTACTGCTAGTACATCATATGGCGATTGCTTGGTGACTGAGAAAAACCAAGTGTTGGGCCAAGCATATTCGACTCACATCATCTTTTACGTTCCTTCTTTGAATTATAACTTTTTATAAAGAATTGAAAACATATCAGCATTTTCACACTTACAAGCAAATCTCATATCTCACAATTCTCTCCGACATTTTTATCATTCAAACAGTTACCATCTCTGATATCATGGCTGAAGCAATTATTTCTGGTGTCTTGGGGCAACTGAATTCAATCATTGGTCAACAAATACTACAGGAGGTGAAGCTAGTTGTTGGTGTAGACAAAGAAGTCAAAAAGCTTACAAGCAATCTTGAAGCTATTGAAGCAGTGGTCCTTGATGCAGAGGAAAGACAAGTGAAGGAGAAAATTGTAAGACTTTGGTTAGATCGGCTCAAACACACATCCTACGACATTGATGATGTGTTGGATGAGTGGAACTACACCATGTTGAAACAGCAAATTGAGGGATCTACTTCTATTCCTAAGAAAAAGGTTTATTTCTTCTTTCCTTCCTCTTGCTTTTCATTCAAACAAATGAGCTTACGTTATGACATTGCGATAAAAATAAAGGAAGTCAATGAGCATTTAGATGACATTGAGAAACAAAAAGATATGTATAACTTTAAGGTGAGTAGAAGTGTTGGGAAGTCCGACCGAGTACAAAGTACCTCATTTGTTGATGTGTCCAATATATATGGTCGAGTTGAGGATAAGAATGCTTTAGTACATATGTTGTGTGAGAGTAGTGAGCAGCACCCCCATATCATCTCTATTATAGGGATGGGGGGAATCGGCAAGACAACTCTTGCTCAATGTGCTTCTAAAGACAATAAGGTGATAAACAACTTTGATCAAGTAATGTGGGTGTGTGTGTCAGAACCTTTTGATGAATACAGGATAGCCAAAGCAATCATTGAGGCTTTAGAAGGTTTTGCTTCGAATTTAGGTGAATTAGAATCGATTTTTCAGCATATTAGTAGATCTATTGCTGGAAAGAAATTTTTGCTTATCTTGGATGATGTGTGGTCAGATGACTACAAAAATTGGGAGCCATTATATTATTGTTTGAGAAATGGTCTCCATGGTAGTAAAATTTTAATTACTACACGTAAGGAATCAGTGGCACGTATGATGGAATCAATTGACATTATTATTGTCAAAGAATTGCCCGACGAAGAATGTTGGTTGTTGTTTAGGCGATTAGCATTTTCTGCTAGATCCGAAGAGGAGTGTGAAAATCTAGAAGAGATCGGCAAGCAAATTTTAAAAAAGTGCAAGGGTTTGCCTCTTGCTGCAAAGACTCTTGGTAGTCTTTTGCGCTTTAAAAAAACTAAAGAAGAGTGGCAAAATATTTTTGATAGTGATTTGTGGAAACTTGAAGAGTGTGGAAAAGATATTTTTGGTCCTCTACTATTGAGTTATAATGATTTGCCTTTTAAGATAAAACGATGTTTCACATATTGTGCCATCTTTCCAAAAGACCATAACATAAGAAAATATTATTTGATTAAATTATGGATGGCTCAAGATTATCTCAAAGAAGGAAATAAAGTAATGGAGATAGTTGGTCAAGAGTATTTTGACTACTTAGCATCTCGTTCATTCTTCCAGGAGTTTAAAAAAGACCATCACAATAATATCTTTGAATGTAAGATGCACGATTTAGTACATGACTTTGCTCAATTCCTGAGTAAGAATGAATGTCTCCATATAGAAGTTCATGATTTTAAAGAGCCAAACATAAACTCTTATCATGAGCAAGTTTATCACTTGATGATAACATTTGATGAAGGGATTCCATTTCCTGATTCAATTTGTAGTCTCAAAAGGTTGCGTACTTTTTTATGTGATCTTGAAGATTTCAAGCATTCATTGCCTTGTAATATCATACCAAAATTATTTGATGAATTGACATGTTTAAAGGCATTAAATATTGGTGGAAGAGTGAGGCAATTTGGAAAAAATATTGACAACATTCCGAAGGAGATAGAAAAATTGATACATTTGAGATATCTTGATTTGAAAGAACTAGAAATGAGAAAACTTCCTGAAGAATTATGTGGATTATATAATTTGCAAACTTTAGACATTAGTTTTTGTCAAAAACTAGAGGAATTACCTCAAGGGATTGGAAACTTAATAAATCTAAGGCATCTAGAAAATGATGAGGTTTGGTCATTAAGATACATCCCAGTGGGAATTCAAAAATTGACTAATCTCCAAACCTTAAAGTTATTCGTTGTGAGTGGAGTTCGTAGTAATGATGACAAAGCATGCAGCCTTGAAGATTTGAAAAACATCAACCTATATGGAGATGATTTGCGTATACACAAGTTGGGAAATGTATCAAATGTGGATGAGGCTAGAAGATTAGAGCTCAAGAATCGGAAAAACCTCCTTCATTTGTCTTTGGATTTCAGAAAAGATGGAGGAGAGAGAATAAATGAGGATGAGGAAGCACTTCTTGAAATCTTACAACCAACTTTAAATTTGGAGAAGTTATTGCTAGCAGATTATAGAGGCAACTCTATTTTGCCCAATTGGATAATGTCTTTAACCAAGCTCACGGATGTACTACTCCATGAATGCATAAAATGTAAGCATTTGCCTCCCTTTGGAAAACTGCCATCCCTTGAATCTTTGAATATAAGGTTTATGAGCAGTTTGAAAAGAGTGAGTAATGAATTTTTAGGAATAGAAAGTGATGGCACATCTTTATCGTTTATCTTTTTCCCAAAATTGAAAAGTCTCACTTTTAATTTTATGACTGAATGGGAAGAGTGGGAATATGAGATTACAAGAATAGGAGAAGAAGAGGAAATTACAATAATGCCATCTCTTGTTTCCTTGGTACTTCGTTCTTGCCCCAAGTTGAAGGCACTGTCAAACCACCTTATTCAGAATACAACATTGACGAAAGATATTTGGCGTTGTCCTCTACTAGGCTACCCTTCATTCTAAAATAAGAGGTAATTTTTCTTATTCTTTTTATCAATCCATTTATTCGATCCAATTTCTAACGGAATATTTAATCACTTCAATTTTTTTTTTCTTCTTTTTAGAGAGATTTCTGATGCAAATAATTAGGAATGCGCCTCCATTTGTTTGAAGCATCTCCAACAAGCTCTTCCATTCATAGTTGCCGTCATTGCTGCTTTACTTGAAGACAATCTCATGACGGTCATATCTTGTTTATGGGTATTGAGATTAGTTAGCATTTTAAGTTTCTAACTGTTGGATTATCTTTTGTCTGGGAGCTTCTCCAGTTATGCTGAATTCCCTCTCTGAAATCTTTGAGGTCTCTTTAACGTTTGTCTTTTTATGTTTAAACATTTGTTCTCTTTGAGCATATTGACACCAACCATCAAATTTCCTCTGCAGAACTTTGTATCCTACTGGAAAAAAACGACAGGCCTTTTAAAACAAGTTTTAAATCTTATAGTTTTCACATTTTCTTGGTGAGTAGCATATCTCATCTCCTACTTTCTTCTTCTTTTAATTAACATCTTCACTGTCATTTGTAATCCTTTAAATACTACTAATCCTTGCATCTTCATGTCACAGTGTGTGTTTTAGCATCACATGATCATGGTATGATGAATCGATACAAAGGAAGAATTTGAACAGGCAATGCCCCTCCATCTATTTGGAACATCTCCCATATACTCTTCCGTATAATGGTGGCCATCCATCATCACCAGTCTTTTATAAGGAGGAGAAGATTGTTGAAGACAACCTCAGGATGGTTAGATCTTGTTTAGTCTTTGAAAACCGCTTTATTTTTTAAAAAATATTCCAACAGTTGCTAAGGTCTCTGTTTTATTTTGAATTTTTTTCTTAAGTTCAGGATTTATTCATATACACACTGTTTTCTTTTATCATCAAGTAAAATAGGGATAATTACTTCGAACCCCCTGAAGTTTGTTTGAATGCATTCTCCTTGTGGTATCGACTATAACTCAAGACCCCCTACCGCCAGTGCTTTGCAGTTAGTTTTGATAGACAACTGTTAAATGACGTTAATACCCTCGATCCCCTATGCCCAGCAACCTTAACCCACCCACTCACCAAGCAACCTCTATCTTGTCCACCAAACAGCCCCCTTCCCCATCCAAGCACACTCCAACACCATCTCCTAAAAAGCCCTCTCCCCTACCCTAGCACACTCCATCACCATCCACCATGGCACCATCCATTACAACCGCCAAGGGTGGACCATAGAGTGGGCTAGGCCTAGATTTTTTAAAATTTAGCCTGATTAAGAAAAAAAAAAATTCCTAGTTACGCTTCTTAGAACATCTCCAAAAAAACTCTTTATATGACCTAAACTCTGTATTAGAAAGAGTTTATCTATAGAAATAAGAGTCCAACATACTTTTTATTCTTAAAATATAAATTAAAAAGTGAGATTGACTCTCCATATTTAGAGCATTTCCAAAGGCCTCTTTATATGACCCAAACTCTTTATTAGAAAGAGTTTATCTATAGAAACAAGGGTCTAACAGACTCTTTAGTGAGTTTGACTCTTCACATTTAGAGAGTTAAATTTCACTATTTATCATAGTTTTAAATAATAAATTGCAAGTTTCTATACATTTTATTTATGATTTATCATTCCTATTAAGTTTTCTTCTTGAAAAAACATATTCTCCCTCCTAAAATTTAAAGTGTTTATTGGATTTGAACAAAAAATTTGTTCTTTATATTTAAAATTAAATGAAGATGCTCTTTATTTATATAAAATATGCTTTTTAAAATAAAAAGTACTGTTGGAGATGCTCTTAGAGAGTCAAATTTTACTCTCTATCCTAATTTTAAATAATAAATTGTAAGTTTCTATGCATTTTATTTATGATTTATCTTTCTTATTAAGTCGTTTTCTTAAAAAAACATATTCTCTCTCCTAAAATTTAAAGAGTCTATTGGATTTGAATAAAAATTTTATTCTTTATATTAAAAAATCAATAAAGATACTCTTTATTTATATAAAATATGATCTTTAAAATAGAGAAGACCCTTTTAGATGCTCTTACTACTAGGGTTGTTCAAAAAAATCCGATATCCGATCCTGATCTGCTCTGCTCCGCTCCGATCCGGAAAAATTGGATATCTGAAAATTCGGATCGGATATGGATCATAATTTTAGAAAATCTGAATATTCGGATCGGATACCAGATCAGGATTGTTAAAAAAGCGGATATCCGTATCCGATCCGGATTTTACTAAAACCACGTCGTTTTGATTTTTAAAATAACCCTACAAACACAATTTTAATTTAACTCAAACTCAACTCTCTCAGTCTCTCTCGCTCGACACTCGACAGACGACAGTCACAAACACACGACTCAACCTCACCATCGCCATCTTCATTCTTCAGTCTTCACTTACAGTCACCAACTCACCATCGCCATCTCTCTCACTCACTCCTTCCACCATCAAAGCCAAGATCGTCAACAACCCCAAATCGTCAGTTCCTCTCCTAAATCCCTAATTGAAGCCCCAAATCGATCGTAAGTATTTATTCATCTCCATATCTCATCTCTTCTTTTACCTTCCATCTCCACATCGTAAATACAAATAATCCCTAATTTTTTGGAGTGTTTTCCATTATAATTTCTTTAGATTTGCTGAATTTTCTTTTTCCCTTTCGAAATTGTAGTGTTTTCCATTATAAATTGCTGAATTTTCTGTCTTGTTTTATGATGGATGCTTTGACTATGGATTGTTGGATCTTCATTCATGGTTTGTTTTCTGCTACAGGCCAGTGAAGAAAAAAATGGTTTGTTTTTTGATATCATAATGATAATCTTAAACAGTCAAGTTCAATTTTTGATCTTTCTGTTTTTATGTTAGGAATGTTTTTATGTTAGGGTCTAATTGAAAATTGGTTGAAGTTTAGGGGGAAATTTTGATTCAAACTGCCTACATTTGATGCATTGATCTCAATGCATATGATGCATTTTAATTTCCCTGTGTTCCTGACATTGAGGCATGTGATTCTGAATCATTTATAAATTAAGATACAGCTGAATTGTTGCGTTCAATTTTTGAATTCAATTTCCTTAGTTATTTACATTTTGAAATATTTATGAGTTTATGGTTTGATTTGAAGTGGGAATTCTTATTTGTGCGAATGTTCATCTGCAGTCATTTGAATCAAATTATCTTTGATAATAGAGGGATTGAGTTAAAGCTTGTACTTTTCGTGGGAAATTTGATGAATTTTATGATTAATTTTGTGGTTCAAATAATTGAAATAGATGGATTACCAGTAAACAGGTTAAATAATAGGAAAACATTTATATACGAAATCCAAATAAAAAGTTTTTGCTCACAATAGGTTCAACAGAAGACAGAATCCGATGGTAATACATTGATATTGACATATTGTTTCTGTAGTTTTATGATCTTTGATGCTTTTTTTAAGACTTAAAGTTGCAGGATGCTTATCTTGTTCACTTATGAAATTGAACTACTTCTGTTCTACTGTACTACCTACAGTTATTATGGACTACTTTATTCAGTATTTGTAATACTTAAAACTTGGGACATGGTTAAAATTCCTTTTGATTTATTCTCGCACCCCAAACAAAGAATTTGTAGGTTTGGTATATATTGATCACCTTAAGGCTAAAAATTATGTGCTCTTATTTGTTTATACTACTTAAACATTAGCTATTTATTGATATCATAATGATAATCTTAGAAGATTCATCTATAATCATACACAAACTTACCCTACTAACATAATGTTGTCTTTATATATTAGTAGGCTGAATTAAATTTTAGTGATGAATAATTAAAGAAGCATAAATTCTAAACTTAAAGTTTGTATTTTGTAAATTGCAGGTAGCTTTAACTTGAGAATGAAGAACCCTGCTCGCACTTCAGTCCAGGAAGGAAATAGAGTGAAGTCGGTGTGATGAAGTTGGCATGAAGATAAAAAAATGTATTAGTATTAAGTTGGCTATTTTGTTTGTCTTTTTATTAAATTTGTAATTGTAATTTGGGTAATAGATTCTGTGTTAAGTTGGCATTAAACAACTTGTGGATTAATTTGTTGATAATCATGCATTGTATTTTCAATTTTATTAGAAGAATTGTTTGATTTTAAATTTTTAATAAGAATTTTTAAAAATTCGGATAAATTTCAGATATCCAGTTATCCGATTCGGAAAATCGGATATCCGAAAAAATCGGATATCCACATATTTCGGATTGGATATGGATTAGGATATATCCTGGTTCGAAAATCCAGATCGGATCAGAAATAAAACCATTCGGATCAGATATCCGGATTTGAACAGCCCTACTTACTACCACAAATATATTGGTATTCATTCAAGAATTAATCAAATATAATCAAATTAAAAATAAATTAACCCAAATGCACAAAACCAAAGAACCAAAATGCTCCACCACCAAAATCCACAACAAACCCAATCTTGGCCTAAGTGACATCCACATAATAATCAGATTTTGTACCAGCAAACCTCACACTGTTTGGGCTTTTAGAAACCCAAGTAGTAGAGGTTGTAGCTGCATCTTCCATGAGACCGCAATGACGGCCTTGAAAGGTGGAGTTGTGGCTGTGGGTATGAGGAAGAAAAGTGGTGGGGATCGAATATAAATTTACATGCCTTAGAAAATGCTTTCTCACTTCTCTCTTTTCTCTTCATGTTTAAACAAGAAATCATATCACAGCATCATTACTGGTTCAGTAAAATCTTTAATTTTTATTCAGAACTCATTCATATATCTATAATATGCTTTCTCTTACTGTTGGATACCTCTTTTATCAGGAAGCTTCTCAAATTACAGTGGATTCCCTCTATGAAATCTTTTGATGACTCATTGAGATAGGTTTGTTTCCTTGGTTACCTCTCTACTTAGTGGGTACGTTGAAAATCCTTGTTCTCTCAAATTAACTTGATTTTGATATGTTAATTTTGATGCAGAGTGTCAAGATTAAGGTGTAATGAATTTTCTGAAGAATCAAGGTTGAAATATGATGTATGAAGAAGTTTCCAGATTGAGGTTCTCGTTGCTTTCTTTTTCTTGACCAGAAGTTCCCTGTTTTTACACAATTGTTATCTATGAAAATTGAAGGTCATAACCCCACTTTTCATACATCAACTTTCTATTTATTGTTTCAGATTTCATCAAACGTTTATTCTCTCGGTGAAGCATTTTGCCATATAGAAGAAAGGAGGAATAGCGTCGAAAGAACTCGATTAATGGTTGGTTGTGCTTTCTGAATGCCGCTTTCTGTTTTTTCCACATTTCTTGATGTTTAATTTGAAAGTATATCACATCATTTTTTGTTACAAGGAATGAACATAAACTCTTCTAATCAATGAGGATGTCAAATCACTTCTTGATATCTTACACCCACCATTGAATATGGAGCAATGGGATTACAGAGGCAACACTATTTTCACCGACTGGATGATGTACTTAACCAACCTCAGGCACTTAAGAATTTGTCATTGCATAAACTGTAAGCATTTGCTTTCCTTGGGAAAAGTGCCATCCCTTGAATCTTTAGAGATACGGCATATGTAGAGTGTGGAAAGAGTAATGAATTTTTTGGAATGGAAAGAGATGGCACATCTTCATCATTTATTTTCTTCCCTAAATTGAAAACACGTAAGTTTTTGCTATTGACTGAATGGTTTTTTCTTTGAAAATTGATGGCTGCCGGCTGCCCCAAATTGAAGGCACTACCAAACTACCTTGTTCAGAATACAACATTGGATATATCCATTGAGGATTGTCCTATGTTAGGCCACCCTTGAAGGGAAAAATAAGAGGTAATCTTTTTGTTTCCCTTTTGTTTAATCTAAAGTGTGATTGAATATTTAATCACTTCAGTAATTTTTTTATTTTTCTCTCTTGATCAAAATACTTGTTGAAATAATCAGCGATGCGCCTCCATCCTTTTGGAACATCTGTAGTATACTTATCGGTGTAAACGTAGCTGTCCATGTAATCTCATTATACTCAGATTTTGTTTCTTCTCTGAATTTTTATACGGGTACTTTAAAATTTTTTATTAATTTTAATTAAGGATATATTAAATTTTGAAAAAGAACTTTCATCAATTTCTCAAAATTTATTGCTTTTTAAAGAACTCCATGAACCAAAATTATGTAATAGCTCAAATGGAAGATTTAATCATTTTCTTCTCAAGCACTATCTTATATTTTGAGTTTTCTATAAAGTGTTTTCTTTTTCATTAAGTGAAACAATTAAACAGAGGATTTTCCCAAAACAAGTTCAAAGGATGATGTAGAACTGCTCTGTTAAATAACTGTCAATGCCTTTCTCTTATTTCAGGGAGCTTCTCCAATTTCATAGAATTCCATCTATGAATTACTAGGATAGTTGAGTGAGGTACTTTTGTTTCTTAATACTTCTCGTTTGCTCCTTAACCAAACCTGACCTTTTCATGTTAGTTTTGATGCAGTGAATCAAGTTTAAAATTTCATCAAATTTCTTCAAACAACGCATTAAATTTCATCTACAGAGCTTTCTGTCATGCTGAAAAATAATGGATAAACCTAGAAGTATCTTCTATGGGAGATGTCCATACTTTTAAGTCATAACCCAACTTTTCATAGATTAATCATCTGATAATGTTTATGCAATTTTTTTACTTTTTATACTAAGGCATGTGAATTTCTACCTCAAAACAAATATGGAAGAGAGAAGGGATAAATATAGGAGATTATATATCCAAGAGGACTAATAAATTGGTTATGCTTTCTCAGTTCTCTGTTTTTTATTTTTTATTTTTTATGTTTAAACTAGATTGAACATCTCAGCATTAATAATGGTTGAAAATCCATGTTCTATTCTGTTAAACGTGATCTTGATGTATTAATTTTGATGCGGAGAGGCAAGTTTAAGATGTCTTGAATTTGCCCAAGTATCAAGGTTGAAATATGATGGACTAAGAAGTTACCTATGATTGAGGTTCTTGTTGCATTCTTTTTCTTGACCAAAAGTTACCTATGGTAAGACATTAGCTCTCCTTCATCTTAGTAAAATAAGGCATCAAATTGGGTTAATAGAACTTTGTATCATGTTGGACAACATTGACAGACCAGGAAATATCTCGTGTATCCCTACTTCTTGAAGATCATAACATTTATTTTCTCAATGCAGCATTTCACGTTATGGAGGACAGGAGGAATGAAATTAGAAAATAGTCGAAAGAATTTGATTGATGGTTGGCTATGCTTTCTCAATGCTGCTTTCTGTTCTTCTTCATTTCATCAAATTACACTGGATGCCCTCTTTAAAATTTTGTTGACTCTTTCCAGGTTTGCTTCTAGTTCTCTCTCTACTATTTAGGACATTGGAAAACCACATTCTCTCTAATAAAACTTGATTTTGATATGTTATTTTTTCTTCAGTGAGGCAAGATGTCATGAATTTGCTGAAGAATCAAGGTTAAAAATGATATATATATCAGAGAAGTTGCCAGATTGAGGTTCTAGTTGCATACCTTTGCTTGACCAAAACTTCCCTATATCTACTAAGCATTTCTTCTCTTTCAGCTTTTTGAAACCAGACATTAAATTCGGTCTACAGAATTTTCTATCATGCTGGTAACTTGACAGGCCTCAAAGTACCGTACTTCTTAAAGGTCATAATCCCACTTTTCATACTTCAATTTTCTATGGAAATTTTTCTCCAAGGCATGTAATTTTCTATTTGTAGTGCAGCATTTTGCGTTATGGGAGAGAGGAAGAATGGCATTATGAGAAGAGTCGAAAGAACTCGATGAATGGTTAGTTATACTTTCTCAATGCTGATTTAATTTTTGTTTGTGATGTTTAATTAGAGAGCATATAACAGTTTTATCTGCAGGATGAAACAAGTGCTCACTCCGGGGTCTTCACATCTGGAATTTGGTGAGCTTCCATCATCAAGGATTTGCAGGATTTTCAGGGCTATTGTGAAGTAGTAAAACTGAAAACAGAGCATTCTCCGACACCAATTTCTAGAATAATATTTCGAGAAAATCACAGGAGGCACATTTTCAAATCCAAAATTAATTTCTTTTTTTGTACTCAATCTTTCATTTGCTTTCTCTTACTGTTGGATTTTGCTTTAATCAGGAAGGTCTTCTAATTACACTAAATTTCCTCTATGAAATCCTCAAGGACTCATTCTAGGTTTGTTTCCTTTTATTTTTACTTAGTAGGACATTGTAAGGCCATGTTTTCCCTAATACACAACTTGATTTTGATGTGTTGATTTTGATATGTTAATTTTGATGCAGTGAGGCAAGTACCGGTGTTAAGAAATTAATGCTGGGTGTAACTGCAAACTGGAAATTCTGCATTTCTTATTTCAAGAAACACCTTCTGCTCCTACAATCTCAAACACAGCAACTCTACTTTAGCTCAGCACTGGGAAATGTTTTGTATGACTGTGTCTGTACTCCTTAAAGGTCACAACCCCACTTTTCATACATCAATTTTCTGATAATATTTTAAGTAATAGTTTCTGTTGGGATCCCACATTGAAAGGGAAAAGGGTGGGCATGTGGGTTATAAAGGCTTGGGCACCCTCCCTTGGCAAGCCGGTTTTCCAAGGAGAGTTTTACCCAAGCCCATGAAAGACCCATGGCTCAGCCCAAATTGTTGAGTTATTGGAGTGGGTTCTTATCAATTGGTATCAGAGCATGATCCTGTGCCTATGTGGCAGCGCACGCATGGCAGGCTGACCCGTGGCAGGCTGACCTTGGGCCCGGGCTGCTACCCCTAGAAAGGGCATGGAGGCCCGAGGGAAAAGGGGATCCGCGTACTCACCCAAGGGGTAAAGAGGCCGACGGGGGTAAAAAGGTCGACGTGGACGTCGGTTGCGGAAGCGTGGTGGAATGTTGGGATCCCACATTGAAAGGGAAAAGGGTGGGCATGTGGGTTATAAAGGCTTGGGCACTCTCCCTTGGCAAGCCGGTTTTCCAAGGAGAGTTCTACCCAAGCCCATGAAAGACCTATGGTCCAGCCCAAATTGTTGAGTTATTGGAGTGGGTTCCTATCAGTTTCTTTATATAAATACTAAGAAATATGTAGTTTTCTGTTTTCAGTTTCAAAATTTCATCAGTTTTTGGGGTTATGGAAGAGAGGAAGAATGGCTTTAAGAGAGTAGTCGACAAAACTCAACCGATGGTTGGTTGTGCTTTGTCACTCTCTGTGCATTCTGACTAATCAAATAGGCATACATCAATGATGTTCAAACAGAAGGCACATTTCAGTGTTGTGTTTCTGATTTTCTTATTTACTTTAATATGCAGAGTTGATTTACTAATGCCTTCCTTATATGCTGAGAATTTACAATTTCTTTCACTCATTAGTTGAGGAAATACAAAAGTACAAAGCAATGAAGGACCAATTCTTTATAGTTCAATGGCAGAAACTTCATTGAGGCACTTATATTGTAACAAGAAGAAATTTTTGCCTGACGAAACAACTGCTGAATCTTCTGGTTTTCACATTTTTTTTGGTGAGCTTTATATTTCTATTTCCTATTTTCTTCTTGAATTAGCCTCATCACCTGTCATATGTAATCCTATAAATAATACCAGCTTTTTCTTGTCACAGAGTGCTTCAGTATCCAATGGTCATGGAATCATGAAATGTTAAAGGAAGGAATTCGAACATAATTGTAAATTCTGTTGAGAAATTTAAGTTTTTCATGTATTTAATTTCAGTTGTTCAATGGAGATAGAAGTATAAATGTTACTGCTAAGGAATAAAAATTCTGGAAATTATTGTCACTCACGGGTGCCGTAAATATAATCTACAATAAACAGTACAGTGTAAATATTTGTTTTCCTTTTTGATCTCGTATCAGTTTTCCTTCTTTCTTCTTTTATTTCTCTCCCGTTTGCCCCCAATTTTGATATATTTGCTCTTAATCGTTATGTAATAGAATATGTCATTCTTGCATATATGTTCAAATTTGGCGAATATTCGTCATTAAGTGCTAAACTGTCTTTGTCCTGGATTTTATCGCCTTCTTAGACAAGTCAAGAGACAAGTCTTGAGAGAAAAAGTGTAGAGACAAAAGAGAGCTTATTGTAGAGAGTCTAGATTTTATACTTGGTATAGATAACTTTCTATAACTAAATTTGGTTGAGATTGAGTGAGCTTGCAACACTTGGCTATTGTAAGAGAATTCCGAATGTATTGTAACACATATTTTTCTCGTAGAGTGAAATCAACATCATATTTGGCTGTAGGCTATTCGGCCAAACACGTATATCGTGTTGTTTGTGTGTGCTTGTTGCGTTCTTTGCTTTTTATATTGTTGATTGTTTGTAATCTGGATTTTGGAAATAGTTGTTAATGCTTAAATATTCTAGTACTACTGCATCCCAACTGCTCAATAAACTGCAACACTTGGGTTTTTTTTTTTTTCAACAGTAACAACACACCAAGCCTTTGTATGCAGTTTAGTCAGATAACCATGCAATTTAGTCATGTAAACAACAGCTGATTCACCAACTACTATGTTGGCTTCTTTGCATAAGAAATCTCAAGATGTATTTGTTTTTATATGGTCAAAATAACGAATAAACCCCTTACATGCATTTCATAGTGAAAGAGATCCCATGCTTGGCTATCAGTAACTGGCCTGAAATGAACCACCGTATCGTCTCACAGAAGAAAAGTAAAAGATTTGGGTCCCATATATGGATAAAATTCTTCATAATCTGAATTAATAATATACATTTACAACTTCTGCTTTAGTATTACTACAACACAACTATACATAAAACCAAACAAAAGATGATTGAAGGTGCCAGCCAACCAGGCTCACCATCACTGACTCTATTATTTTAAACGGATTTGGTATATATCAACATTAAATTGTGCATATTTTTATTGAATTATTGGTATCAATCAAAGTCAGTGAAAATTTAGATGTCGTTACAAACCGAAAAGAAATGTATAATTTTAATGTGATTAGAAGTGTTGGGAAGTCTGAAGAGTACAAAGTACCTCATTTGTTGGCGTGTTTGATTATGGTCGAGTTGAGGATAATAACACTTTAGTATGCATGTTGTGTGAGAGTAGGAAACAAAAAGATATTTATGGTTTTTATGTGATTAGGAGTGTAAAAAGAGTGTGCGAGTACAAAGTACCACCTTTATTGATGTATCTGAGATATGTATGATTCTGATGCAGTGATCCTGTTATTTACTTTAATATGTAGAGTTGATTTACTAGTTCAATGGCTTCCTATATATGCTGAGAATCCACAATTTCTGTTACTCATCAAAGAGAATGTACTCAAGGGAAAAACAGTAAAGGACCATTTTTTATAGTTCAAGGGCAGAATCTTCATTGAGGCACTTCTAGCAAGAAGAAACTTTTGCCTGATGAAACAAGTGCTGAGTCTTCTGGTTTTCACATTTCCTTGGTGAGCTAGCATCTGAGCTATATTACTATCTCCTACTTTCTTCTTTAATTAGCATCATCACTGTCATTTGTAATATTAATGCTTGCATCTTCATGTCACAGTGTGGTTTAGCGTCAAATGATCACGGAATGATGAATCAATAGAGAGAAGGAATTCGAACGTAACGGAACAAGCATGCTAAATTGGGAAATGTAATCAATGAAAGTGGTGACTAGTACCAAGATATAAAGCAGCTTATTGGTTGAGAGAGATCAAAGTTTTCATGTATTTTCAGTTGTTCAATTGGGATAGAATTTTATAGGGTATTGGTTTTACATATCTTTTTGAAAGACTTCTTCTGTTAATATGTATTTGCTTTTAGAGGCTTGTAATTTTTTTTTTGTTTCTTCGTGTGACAAAAGCCTTATTATACAAGTAAATATAGTTGAGGAAGCATTTGCCTGCAAATATTGTAAATATTGGAATATATTTTCCATCTTCCTTTCCTTAACAGTTTCCCTTCTTTCTTCTTTTATTTCTCACTTGTTCCCCCAAAATTCCAAATTATGTTCTTTTTGCTCTTGATTGAGGGTTCTATAATAGAATACTTGACTATTGTATTTGTAACACCTGTTTTTTTCTCATAAAAAGAAGCTATTGTTAGTTGTTTGTAATTTTGGGTTTGGAAAAAGCTGATTCTATAATCTATTTGTTTTTCAAAATATAAGACCAATTATTATGTTGCTTCATTTGGTCACAAGACCAGAGTCTTTACAGACAAGAAATCTCAAAGACATTTATTTGTTTTTATATGGTCAAAATAATCAATAAACCCCTTACATGCATTTCAAAGTGAAAGAGATCCCATGCTTGGCTATCAGTAATTGGCCTGAAATGAACCGCGTCTCACCGATGAAGGGTAAAAGATTTGGGTCCCATATATGGATAAAATCCTTCATAATTTAAATTAATAATATACATTTACAACTTCTGCTTTATATACTACGACACAACTATCCATAAAACCAAACAAAAGCTGAGGTAAGGTGCGTGCCAACCAAGCCAACATCAATTTTACATATGTTTTATTAAATTATTGGTGTCGTTGTTTTGTTTGTTTGTTTCCGGACTTCTTCTATATGCAGGATAAGAAATGAATGGATGTGGAAAGTTTCACAACTATATCTCTTGCTCTTTCTTCTTACAATTATTCACCTTCTCTGATCATGGCTGAAGCTATTATTTCCGCTGTCTTGGAGGAGCTGACTTCAATCATTGCCCAAGGGATACAACAGGAGGCGAGGCTAGTTGTTGGTGTCGACAAAGAAGTCAAAAGGCTTAGGAGCAATCTTGAAGCTATTCAAACTGTGCTCCTTGATGCAGAGGAAAGACAACTGAAGGAAAGACATGTTAGACTTTGGTTAGATCAGCTCAAGGACACGTCTTATGACATTGAAGATGTGTTGGCTGAGTGGCACTATGCCTTGTTAAAACAGCAAATTGAGGGGGTTGAAAACAACCTTGTTCCTTCTAAGAAGGTATGTTTCTCCTTTTCCTGCTCTTGCTTTTCAATCAAACAAGTTAGGTTACGTCATGATATTGCGATCAAGATAAAGGAAGTAAATGAAAATTTAGATGTGATTGCGAAACAAAAAGATATGTATAATTTTAATGTGATTAGAAGTGTTGGGAAGTCCGAACGAGTACAAAGTATCTCATTTGTTGATGTGTCTGAGATATATGGTCGAATTGAGGATAAGAATACTTTAGTACGCATGTTGTGTGAGAGTAGTGAACAGCACCCCATATCATCTCTATCATAGGGATGGGGGGAATCGGCAAGACAACTCTTGCTCAATTTGCTTCAAAGAAAATCAGGTGATAAAGAACTTTGATAAAGTAATGTGGGTGTGTGTGTCAAATCCTTTTGATGAATACAGGATATCCAAAGCAATCATTGAGGCTCTAGAAGGTTGTACTTCGAATTTGGTTGAATTGGAATCGCTTTTTCAGCGTATTAGTGAATCTATTGCTGGAAAGAAATTTTTGCTTATCTTGGATGATGTGTGGTCAGATGACTACAAAAAATGGAAACCATTATATCATTGTTTAAAGAATAGCCTTCGTGGAAGTAAAATTTTGATAACTACACGTAAGGAATCAGTAGCATGTATGATGGAATCAATTGACAGTATTGTTGTCAAAGAATTGCCCGATGAAGAATGTTGGTTGTTGTTTAGGCAATTAGCATTTTTTGGTAGGTCTCAAGAGGAGTCTGAACATCTAGAAGAGACCGGCAAGCAAATTTTAAACAAGTGCAAGGGTTTGCCTCTTGCTGCAAAGACTATTGGTAGTCTTTTGCGCTTTAAAAAAACTAGAGAAAAGTGGCAACATATCTTAGATAGTGATTTGTGGAAACTTGAAGAGTGTGAAAAAGATATTTTTGGTCCCCTACTATTGAGTTATAATGATTTGCCATTCAAGATAAAACGATGTTTCATATATTGTGCTATCTTTCCGAAGGACCATAGCATAAGAAAAGATTATTTGATTAAATTATGGATGGCTCAAGATTATCTCAAAGAAGGAGATAAAGTAATGGAGATAGTTGGTCAAGAGTATTTTGACTACTTAGCATCACGTTCATTCTTCCAAGAGTTTGAAAAAGACCATCACAATAATATCATTAAATGTAAGATGCACGATTTAGTATATGACTTTGCTCAATTCCTGAGTAAGAATGAATGTCTCCACATAGGAGTTAATGGTCTTAAAGAGCCAAACATTAACTCTTATCACGAGCAAGTTTGTCACTTGATGATAACACTTGATGAAGGGGTTCCATTTCTTGATTCAATTGGCACTCTCAAAAGGCTGCGTAGTTTTTTACGTAATCCTGAAGATTTCAAGACTTCATTGCCTCCTAATACCGTACCAAAACTATTTGATGAATTGACATGTTTAAAGGCATTAAGTATTGGTGGATGTTGGCGTCAATTTGGAAAAAATATTGACGACATTCCAAAGGAAATAGGAAAATTGATACATTTGAGATATCTTGATTTAAAAATGCTAGAAATGAGAAAACTTCCTGAAGAATTATGTGGACTATATAATTTGCAAACTTTAGACATTAGTTATTGTACAAAATTGGAAGAACTACCTCAAGGGATTGAAAACTTAATAAACCTAAGGCATCTAGAAAATCATGGGGTCTGGTCATTAAGATACATGCCAATAAGAATTCAAAAACTAAATCGCCTCCGGACATTAAGGTCAGTCGTTGTGAGTGCAGTTGGTGGTAATGATGGCAAAGCATGCAGCCTTGAAGATTTGAAAAACATTAACCTATATGGAGATGATTTGGAGATAAACAAGGTGGGAAATGTATCAAATGTGGATGAGGCTAGAAGATTAGAGCTCAAGAATCGGAAAAACCTCCTTCATTTGGTTCTGAATTTCAGAAAAGATGAAGGAGAGAGGACGAATGAGGATGATGAAGCACTTCTTGAAATCTTACAACCACCATTAAATTTGGAGAGGTTATGGCTAGAAAATTACATAGGCAATGCTATTATGTCCAACTGGATGATGTCCTTAACCAAGCTCAGGGACTTACTACTCTATGAATGCATAAACTGCAATCATTTGCCTCCTTTTGGAAAATTGCCATCCCTTGAATCTCTGAAAATAAGGTTTATGAGCAGTTTGAAAAGAGTGAGTAATGAATTTTTGGGAATAGGAAGTGATGGCACATCTTCATCATTTATCTTTTTCCCAAAATTGAAACATATTGAGTTTTCCAACATAGATGACTGGGAAGAGTGGGATTATGAGATTCCAAGAAATGAAGAAGAAGAAGATGATATTACAATCATGCCATCTCTGGTTTCCTTGCAAATTGATAACTGCTTCAAATTGATGGCATTACCAAACCACCTTGTCCAGAATACAACATTGGTAAAAGGTATTCGGCGTTGTCCTTTCCTAGGCTACCCTTGAAGCTAAAATAAGAGGTATTTTTTTTCTTATTCTTTTAATCAATCCATTTATTCAATCCAATTTCTGATTAAATTTCAATCACTCCACCTTTTTTTTTTTTTTTTTTTTTTTTTTTTTTTTTTTTTTTTTTTGAAGAGATTTCTGATGCAACTAAATTGCATTCTGCCTCCATCTGTTTGGTACACTCGAGTATACACTTCCACATAATCGTCGCCGGTCCATTATTACCAAGTCATTTTTGAGAAGAGGAGAAGATCATGCTGTCATTACTGCTTTAGCTGGAGACAATCTCATGACGGTCAGATCTTGTTTATTCGTTGAAAAACAGTCCTCCTTCTGTTTCCATTAACCGGGTGAAGGATTTTCAAGGTTAATTAGATCAGTTAAAACAGAGCAATTTAAATTTCTATTATTGACCAGCAAAGGAAATTATCATATGTCATTTTGCTTTTTCTAACTGTTAGATCATTCTCTTGTCAGGGAGGTTCTCCATTTCCATCTTTGAGGACTCATTCGTGGTGAGCCAAGTTTCCTATGTAGATTTACACATTGGTTCTCTTTGAGATTTTGAAACTAATCATCAAATTCCCTCGGCAGAACTGATTTTGTAATTGGGACTATCGGTAACAAGAGTTCATAATTTCTGTCACTGATCACCGGAGAAAATACTCTAGGGAAAAGCAATGGCCGAAACTACACCAAGCCACTTGAAACAAAAAGCAAATCCGCTTGATGAAACAAGTGTTGAATCCTTTTGTTTCATCATATGAATTAGGTGATCTAGAGAGACTATCTCATGTAAGTTTTTCTTGTGAAAATAGTGACTCGTAATAAGAGATAAAGCGAGTCTGGTGGAGATCATATTTACTCTGGTACGAGAGTATGAAAGCGGTGAAATTTTAGTCACTCAAGATTAGACCTCTCTACCAAGTGGATTATTTTTCATAAAAGGAAGTATATATTATTGCATAATCATCCCACTATATCCAAGTTGTTTATATATTATTGGTTTGATAATTAACAGTAGTTTAGGTTTAGTTATATATTAAACTATACATTATTAAATCATATTAATTTAATAATTATTACCAACCAATAACGTCACATAACAACAATGTATAGTACAACCCATTAAAATAAAATAAACCAAAAACTACAAGGAACTAAATTGAAATAAAATGGCATGTAGCAGAAGCAGCTGTCAAAATATACAAGCTTACACAATAAAAAATTAAACTTGCTCAGTGCAAATTCAGTGAACCAATTTTAGTTCATGACAGCTCTATGGCTTACATATTCATTTCGGTATTTATTTGTCACATTTCAGAAGTGATCATTAATTATTCACATTTCGAAGGGGGATGGTCATGCAAGTAGAAATCCATTAAAATCCATAAAAAGGGTACGCAACAACTCACATGCCGAATCAAATAGCCCAAAAATAGATGCCAACATAATGGTGACAAGTGACGGAAAAATAGGGTTCCATTCCTAAGAGCAAACCTAAGAAGAGATTTTTTTTGTGTGAAAAAAAATATCATTTTCAAACATAAATAGATTTTTTTTTTTTTTTAGATGACTAAGGTGTCCGAGCTAGCTTATATGTACCTCAACTAATCCTTGGAACCCTGAAGTTAACGGGTTGGGTAAACCTCCAATGCCACCCCTAATAGCAACTGATGTGAATTAAACTCAAGATCTTTTAGGTAATACCCTAAGAGTCCCCGAGGGTGGTTAATAGATGTTGATGTCAAATAACATATTTCTAGTATTCTATGTTATGCTCATATTACAAATGGTATAATTCAATTCATTATAAATTTTTACTTCCAATATTACTTATTAATTACTAAAATATTACTTTCAATATTGCTTTAAAATAAATATACATGTGACACTGTATTATTTGACAAGAAAATATTACTTATAAATTACTAAAATCTAACATTTTTCCTTGAAACTCAAGAAATCAAATTTTTTTTTTTCCTTAAAGAAAAATTTAGAAGCCTCAAAATATGAGAGATCTCTTCATTGACACGTTTCAAAGTGTTGTCTCTTTTAAAATATTCTCAAACCAATGATAGTAAATTTTATCTAATTTGTTAAAATAGATAACACAAAAGTTTTTTTTATTTTTTTTATTTTTTTTATTTGTGCATTTAATTCCCAAACCATTTTAAATTTTTTTTTTTTTTTTAATATTAACCATTCTTGGGGTTTCATAAAAAAAAATATATCTCTTGTTTTATAATTAAATTTTTTATTTTCTATCGACGTTAATATGTACCTTAAGACATATGTAAAAAGATGGATTGATATTTTTCCACAAATAAATGCAAAGAGATGCCATCATCCATCCTGCTTTTGGAAGTTAGCTCAACCTCTCGGTGCATTTGTCGTTAATAGCGAAGATAAAACCAATTGAATAGTCATAATGGGTTTGAATGAGAAGAAAAAAACAAAAACCAAAATTTGGAGGCACTTTTGAGGAGGGGGTTTATTGCAATGACCACAACTTTAAACAAAACCCCACTAGGAAACAAAAACTGAGGGCATTGTTTGTCTTTGTTAGGGCATGTTTGGATTGTAGTCGGCGTTGGGAATATTAAAAAGCACTTGTTAGGCCAGCTGATTCCCTATCCACCTTATGTCAAGACAAAACCCATTAAAGTGGAACCCCCTTTTGTTTTGAAAGACCAAAATTTAAAGTGAGGATGAGACAAAAGTTTTAGAGATAGAAACTACCATAGAATTACATTTTCATCCTTATGATTTTGGGTGACCTCATCAAAGACACTTGTTTCAAATACTAGCGTTTTGGTCATTTGACTTGACAGAACTTCGATTGAACGTTAGTTGGCTGTTAACTAATTTGAAATAGTTTCTCTTAAGTTTATCAAATAAATACGTTACACACTAGTGTGTGAGTTGTGTACTACATTTTTCATTATTTTTGAAAAGGGTAGTTTTGACATTTTAGTATAATTTTCAAGTCAATAGCTTTGATGGTTAATTGAATTGGAAATTTTATTGAAATGACAAAAATACCCCTCTAAAATATAATGAAAATCGCATCAGAAAAATGATACTAATGTAAGTCGAACAATTTCCTTTAAAATAATTAAGCAAGTGCATTTCACACTAGTGGTATTTTGTATAATTAATACATGTTTCATTATCTTTGTAAGGTTGATTTAGTCATTTTCAAATATTTTCAAGTTAACAGTCAATCTTATAAGTCAATTAGTCAAAGCACCAAAATGATAATATTTGAAATAAGTGTCCTCAAATGTGTAGACTAATATTACAGGGACGACACGTAATCGTTGCAGAAACTGCAGAAAAGAAAGAATGGCTCAACGTCTCATAAAATTCCATATTCCATTAATGCAGCCAAAACGACAAGAAATTACAAGACGACAAAGCCACCTCTCACGCATTGTCGACACTCAACAACGTTGCCATGAATGAAACAAAACTCTTTTTCCTTCAAACGACTCTCTCCTTTTCTTCTCTCACATAGAAAATTACAAAGAACATAGAAAACCCAGAAGAGGTTTGTTTCAGTCAAGTTGAACCCGCCAGCCCGCCTGCAATTCTTGAAATTCCCGTGAGAATTTTTTTGTGGGTTTTTGCTCAATTACAAAACCCAGTAAGCTATCTCTTGCTCTTGCTGAATTTGATCTCAATTTGTGAAATTTCTGTTACCCTTTTTTGGGTATTAGCTTGTCTCTTGTTGTTTGATTTTAGCTTGATTTTGTTTCTGTATCTTGTGACCTGTGTTTTGTGGTTCAATTTTGTTTTAATTGTTTGGTTATAGCAATGGTTCAGGATGATGGATCATCTTCTGTAACATCATCCTCTCCACTTCAGTTTTTTTCAATGATGTCACCTAGTTTAGGGTCACCATATCCATGGCTTAGAGAACTCAAGTCTGAGGAGAGGGGTTTGTATTTGATTCATTTGTTGATTACTTGTGCAAATCATGTGGCCTCTGGTAGTCTTGAGAATGCAAATATTGCCCTTGAGCAAATATCGATGCTGGCTTCACCTGATGGCGATACGATGCAACGAATCGCTGCCTATTTCGCGGAGGCTCTTGCTCATAGAATCCTTAAGGCTTGGCCTGGTCTTCACAGGGCGCTTAATTCAACTAGGATTAGTTTGGTTTCCGAAGAAATTCTCATTCGGAGACTGTTTTTCGAGATGTTTCCGTTCTTGAAAGTGGCCTATGTGCTCACAAACCAGGCTATAATTGAAGCCATGGAAGGGGAAAAGATGGTTCATATTATTGATCTTAATGCTGCAGAGCCTGCTCAGTGGATTGCACTTCTTCAAGCTTTGAGTACAAGGCCGGAGGGGCCACCTCATTTGAGAATTACAGGGATTCATCCGCAGAAGGAGGTGTTGGATCAAATGGCGCATAGATTGACAGACGAAGCAGAGAAATTAGATATACCATTTCAATTCAATTCGGTTGTTAGCAAACTAGAGAATCTTGATGTTGAAAAATTGCGAGTTAAAACTGGGGAGGCTCTGGCTATCAGTTCAGTTCTTCAACTGCATTCACTTTTGGCAACCGATGATGAAGTCGTGCAGAAGAGATCCTCATTAGCATCAAGAAATGCAAATGGTATTCATTTGCAAAGAGCACTCCAAATGAGCCAAAACACATTAGGCGAGTTGCTTGAGAGAGATCTGGCGAACGGGTATAGCCCGAGTCCTGATTCAGCCTCATCATCGCCGCTGTCTCCAAATGCCTCGGTAAAGATGGATAGCTTCCTCAACTCTCTGTGGGGTCTATCACCAAAAATCATGGTGGTAACAGAGCAAGACTCAAACCATAACGGTTCCTCTGTCATGGAGAGGCTCTTGGAAGCTCTGTACTCTTATGCAGCCTTGTTTGATTGCTTAGAGTCCACTGTGCCAAGAACATCATTGGAGAGACTAAAGGTGGAGAAGATGTTATTCGGAGAGGAAATTAAAAAAATTATAGCATGTGAGGGATCCGAAAGGAAGGAAAGACACGAGAAACTCGAAAAGTGGATTCAACGTCTAGACTTGGCATGCTTCGGAAATGTGCCTTTGAGCTACTGCGGCATGTTGCAGGCAAGAAGATTACTGCAGAGCTATAATTGCGACGGGTACAGAATCAAAGAAGAAAACAGATGTGTGCTAATTTGCTGGCAAGATCGACCTCTATTTTCAGTATCAGCTTGGAGATGTAGGAAGTAAGGATTCAAATTAATAGTCACTTGAATGTTTTTAGTTGTTGATGCTTTTTTTTCTTTCCCATGAAATGATTTTGTATGCACAGTCTTACCTAAAGTTAATTTGTTTAATTCTTCCCATTTACATCATCTAAGGGAACTCAATTCTGATCTTTGGTGTGTGTATAGATAGGCTTAAATCTCATATTTCATTTAGCTTGTATGATCCTGTAACTCTCTCTCTCTCTCTCTCTCTCTCTCTCTGTGTTCATTGTGGAAACTCTGTTTATGTGTAACTTTATTAGTAAAATGATTGGCTTCTTTATTGGATTAAACTCAGAAACCTCCATACTTCTTATCTTCACCGGTGCCCGGCGCCAAATTTATTTCACTCCATTTGATCTTCTGTGTGGTATAGTTGTCACATTGCTTGAATTCTTTATGCATAATGCAATGTAGAGAAGAATTTTCTCAGTAAAATTTAAATTAAATTAAATAAATAAAGGGGGAAGGTATAGCTGCCTCTTTATCAGTAACATTCAACCACTCCCTTCTATCTTTATGGTAACAACTAGTGGGCACTGGACCTATTTTACACCTACATTACTTTTCACAAATCAACCAACCATTTGCTCTCCAACCAAACCTCATTTAAATTAAAGTTGAAGGATTTCAAATAGGTGATACCCGTGCCCGTCGTATATCTGGATGGGCTTGTTTAAAGGTATGGCCCAGTCATCCCAACCCAGCCCAAGTTCATCGTTTATAATTAATTAAACAATAAAATACTCATATTCAAGAGGCAAGACATTGAACTACCCAAAGACCCCACTAATTAATTATTTAATATCACATTAATTTTTTACTATTGATATAATTTACTCGTACAGAAAAAAGTAATATTTAAAAAAAAAAATTACCAACTAATTTAGTTAGAACAATAAATGTAAAGAGCAATTTCAGGCATAGATTTAGCCCTACCCTTTGTTTTTTTCTCAAATATTGTCTTAATTTGACCCTAAGTGGATAAAGATTCTAAGGCTGAATATTTTGACACCCAATTTTAATATAAAAAAACTTCTCCCTGTGGTTTCGAAAACAATCATATTATCCCCATTTTTTTGAATTCAAGCGTGAAAGTTTAACAGTTTAAGGGTAATTTTGTCAATATATCTCACATATATAACGTTATGAATTGACAATATTGCTCTTTTCCTAGTTTAAACACCTTAAATTAAAAGAACGGAAATAATTTTGGATGTTTCCAAAAGTAAGTAACAACATTGTAATTTCACAATAGATCAGGGGTGAAATTGTTATTCAGACTGAAGTTCAGTTACAATAATACAAATAATAAAGTGAATAAATCAAAAATTAAATAAACACAAAAATCACTTTCCATTAAGACCAACTTCCATTGTCATCAAGACAACCCATCAGCCATGGCTACTCCTTCTCTGAAACTAACCCTACTCACCATCTTCACAATCCTCCTCGTAAAAGGCTTCAGCAGTGAGGAGCACGAGCAGCAGCAGCGTCCATGCGGGAGTGTCGACGGCCTCGCCGTCTTGCTTGGATGCCAGAATTTCCTTCTGAAGGACGGGCCGAAAGTCCCTCCATCGGGTGATTGCTGCAAGGCTGTAGAAGAGATTGGGATGAACTGCACCTGCAAGATTATTACTAAAGATATTGAAGCCATCCTCAGCATGGAGAAGCTTGTTTTTGTGGCTCAATCCTGCGGCCAACCTCTTGCTCCTGGAACTCAATGTGGAAGTAAGACTTTATAATATTTTATATATACTGTATATATATGAAAAGAGTAAATAGGTGGATTGAAATCTAGAAACATTAATACATTTATTGTCAGAACAAAAGACCAAACGAAATTAATGATTTCTTTTAGTAGGGTCACTATCCCCCACTCACCACTTACTGTGTTCATTCTTGGTTACAGTTACCATCTAATATTAAAAGATAAATTTCCAATCTAATTTTTTTCTTCGATTATGAATTTTTGTCCTCGAATTTTAACTTAAAATGAAAATAATGGTGAATAATGATTTCTCTTATCAGGTTTTTGAGATAACATTTTTGTCTATGTTATCAGTTTTCTTTCGTATGATTAAACCTATTTACTTCTAATCCCTTAAATTAAACATTAAAAGTTAGAACTTGAATAAAATAGTGATAAGAGGAGGGAAATTGTTATTTCTAATAGGGGTTTTGAATTGTTTTGAATTGATGTAAGGTATGAAAAGTAAAACGTTGATGGAAATTAGCTGGCATTGCCTTTTGAAATCTTATCACTTTCATTTGAAGCCTTTTGAAATCTTATCACCTTCATTTGAAATAGAAGCAAATTTATAGTATCATATTAGTGGAGTAGGAACACTGTGCTAGAGTCATGGAGTTGGTACACTGTGCTAGAAGCACAAAAAATATGCTCTAAAAAAAATTGTATTTTAAAAAATTATTAAATACTCTCTTAAATTATAAAATATTCACCAATCTTATAGATTATTGAGCATATTATAAAAGAAATTCATATTAGTTGTGTTCATTTTTTGGCACTAATATTTTGAAACTGATATTTGTTTCAGGCTATACAGTTCCACCAGCATGAAATTTTCTTCGGGGAAGCTAATGGGGGGCACTTACAAATAACTCAATGAAATACATCTTTATTTTAATTATGTAAATCTTCATCTTCCATTAAGTTTATTTTTAATGGAGAAATAATAGTAATAATAATAAAGTGCATTTTTATTATTTAATCATATGGTGATTGCTTGAATCTGTTTCTCTTATATTACTGTCAAACTAAGCGTTTCTCTTATATTACTGTCAAATTAAGCTAACTAATGCTTCTGATAAATCATTATTAGAAGATTAATTACTATTGCCACTGTTATTAATATATAAAAAATAACTTAGTAGCAATATATTAATTATATCTTCTCAACCTGTAATGTTTATGCATCAAGACATAAATCCACATATATATGTCATATATATATGTCCAAACTTGTCCAAACATCGTAACAACCCCACTAACCTGTCCAAACACAATGATAAAGTAGATTTGGATAAAACTCACTCTCAAAAGCTAACTCTAGAGAGAAGGGAGCTCAAAACCACAGATATATACGTCATAACAATCCACCAACTTAACGACGTACGACAAATACAACTTTTAACATAATCACTTAAGGAGTCAAACTATAAAATTAATTACTTCTTCTAATCATATTTTACAATTTGGGTTATATTAGTTTCTACAAAACAAATAATTTGATAGAGTTTGGGATAGGATCTATTTATATAAGGAACAGAGACCTCTAAGAACAAGAGACATAGAGATTAATTTAACAAATTATCTATTGATAACCACAATCTAGATTTAGGCTATTATATAGCTTTACACTTGACTTCAAGTGACTTCCAAAAGGACTCTGATGCTTAATTCAAATATTCTATCATAATTATAAAAAGATAATAAGATAATCTTAATTATATCATAATAAGATAATAACATAATTATAAATGGATAATAAGATAATCCTAATTCTATCCTAAATATCTTAATTATAAAAGATAATAATAAAAGACTTAACATAGTTATCTTAATTCTAAAATAATCCTAACATTGCCTTCCCCTTTAGTTCAAACTTGTCCTCAAGGTTGCAAGGTACTGCACCACAAGAAATCATTTGGTGCAAATGAGGTCCAAAGCAATAAAGAGACGACAAAAGTTCGACCAGGTTCAAAAATCAGCACAGTAAAGAAGTCATTTATTCCCTTGTCGTGAGCCAACACAATGCCTAGCAACGACACCAGAGTGAGATCGAAACTTGTGGGATGCTTGGTGAGGGCCGTCGACAGTGGTGGAGGATTGTTGTTATTATGACTGAGAGGGACCAAGGGCAGGTCAATCGTAGACTAGTGGTCAGCGACAACTATGACATAATCGGCAAAATGGTCGATGAGGCCCACTTGAGAAATGATTTTCGATTTCGAGGAGAAAGTCGTGAGTTGCGGATCCATGTCATCAAAACGTAGCACCTCCAATTGGAAAGGTTTAGAAGGTGGCGTAGACTCAAAAGAATGCGAAATTGAGTCGAGCGGGTGTAACAGACCGCCTGGCTTTGACACCCTAATTGGCCCCGCCACGGAATTCACATAACTCCCTACGTGGCAGGTACTGTCCCCCCCACCATGCTTCCTAATTGACTCTAGCCCCTTGGTCTTGGGTTCGAGTGACTTTTTATTGTCACGCCCGTGGCCTCACACAGGAGTTCCTCGCGGTGCCCACACAGGTACGTGACTCACTAGGTACTGTCTCCCCCCCCTTAAGGGATTTCTTTCGCCTTTCCCACCCCGCAGGCGTGACAGCGGGAGAGGGCCATCGCCACTCACATCATTGTCCCCCATGAGCTCTTTTCGTCATTGTCCTTGTTCTAGCTTGGTGTCAATGGTAGTTTCTTTTAGTGTAATAACCGTTAAAAGACCCTCTAGGGAGTCAAGTTTGGCCTCTTGGGCGTCTAGCCTAACCTCATGTTGAGAGACAAGATCTTTTAGAGCCTTTAGGCGAGAAAGGTTGGCCATGGAAAGGGAACATGAGCACCAATGATAAGGCTTGGGATATGATCTATTTATATGAGGAACATGGACCTTTAAGAAAAGAGATAGAGAGATTAATTGATAAATTGTTCATTGATAACCACAATCTAGATTTAAGCTATTATATAGCTTTACACTTGACTTCAAATGACTCCCAAAAGTACTCTAATGTCTAATTCAAATATTCTATCATAATTATAAAAAGATAATAAGATAATCCTAATTCTATCATAATAAGATAATAACATAATTATAAAAGACTTAACATAATTATCTTTATTCTAAAATAATCCTAACATAATTTTTACTAGTAGAACTTTGGTTTAATTTATTTAAATCAAATAAAAAGAAAAAAGAAAGAAGGAAAATGGTTACAACAATCCTTCTTATTAAGTATGGTTTAATGAATTACTTCTAATTATATTTTGCTTTTTTTGGGTTGATTTTGTTCAAGTTTGATCAGTGCGAACCAAAATTTCTATCTTTTAACAAATAAAATTGCCAGATTTAGTAAGCAAAAGAGAACAACATGCTACTCTGTCCACATTTAGAAGTGTAAATAGGTATTAAAAAATGGTCGAAACAATACAGAAACATAGAATCAAATGCCTAGTGCTTGAGTAAGCAGACAGAAGGATTACAAGTAGCTAATGGTCATGGCAATGGACCTAACCCTAATCGCTGTCACAGCCATCTTACTTGTGGGAGAAGGCAACACTCAGGCCTTGCCGCCGCTGCAGCCTCCGATTCAAAGTCCGCAGGCTGCATGTTCAGATGGTGATGCCACAGCCCTTTGGTATGAATGCCGGATGTTCTTTTACCAGCCCGGGCCAAACGCCCCTCTATCATCTCTTTGCTGTGCTGCATTGCAACAAATTGGCATGGATTGCTTTTGCTCAAGAATTACCAAGGACTTGGAAAATAGCATCAGCTTGGAGAAGGTGGTTGAGATGGCTAATGACTGCGGCAACCCACTTAAACATGGAACGCAATGTGGAAGTAAGACTGATTTCTATCTACTTACAAGCATTATAGAAAGTAAAAATAAAAAAGAAATATATAGTTGAATACGATTTTACGGTTAAATTTGTCTTTAAATGAAATTTTCACATTTTGGGAAATTAAGATTATTGACTTGGCTATTTACTGCATCTTTACCTAATAGATCTACATATGTGCGATGTCGATTTTATTTTTTATTCTTTTGAAATATGAGAATATTCAAATTTTAGACCTTTAATTCTATACAATATTAAGTTTAATATAATTTTTTTTATCTCCTTTTAATTTCGCAATGTTGTTCATTATATTTTATTTCGATAATGATACATTTTAATTAGCATTGAATTATATTTATCTTTCTCTGCAGTTTATACGGTTCCATGAGCATTGAATTCTTGGAAGATACCAAAGGAAGCTATGAATTAATGAATATAACAAGTTTTAAATACAAGAACGATGTATTCGAGCTGCTGCACTAGAGTGTATCTAGTGCCTATCCAATTTCCGTTACATCATGTCTTATTGTTCCTTCTTTTAGGCTATCAAATTGAGTTTCGAGTGATATTGTATGTAATTAAAGAGTGATGTTTTATATATAAATTTTTTAAAACATATTAATTATGTTGATAGCTTCCTTTTCAGGTTAATTCGGTCGATCCTATCTATTATATCTACTGTAAAGTATAAAATATAATAATACTTTTCTCCCAAATTCTATTGAAGTGGAAATTAAATTCATATTTATTTATTTATTAAATCTAACATTCAAAGAAAGAAACATACAATAATTAAGAAAGGTCTCAAGATCTTGCTTATTATTTTTCATATATGATTTTAGATATAAAATTTAAGCAAAACCCAGCTGCTTCGTCAGTACTTCAAGCTCTCCCATTTTCAGCCAGATGGAATGGTGATACCTAAGACAAATACATCACAACATTAGCATATGAAAATACATACTTTTCCATCAAAATTTGGATATATATGTTTACATAATTTTTTTTTTTTAATTATTATATCAACATATCGATACCTAAGAGTATATGGTTAAAAAAAAATAATAATAAATAAATAAAAAAATAAAAAAAAATTCAATGTCGATTGTCTGATCAGAAATGATACTTCCACTTATCCTAATATTTGTAATTAAGATTTACGTGTAAATGTCGAAAATCTTAATCTTTAGTGTGCTATAACCTATAAAAAGGATATATATATCGACATAATCTAAGAGTTTAATGACTAATTAATATGATAAATTAAAAGACAAACCAGCGAAAATATAAATTATATATTAAAAATATATAAGGACTTTGTTCACCAAGAAAACTTTGTATTTCTTTCATATAAAGAGTATTGCAAGGTAATTAATTAATTAATTATTTTTTCTTCTAAATTGTAGTCAAAATCATAATCAAACAAATTAAAAAAGTTCAAGAAATTAATTAACCTCATGATTCATGATGAAAGAAATTATGAGAAAGAATAACATATAAGAGTAAATTAACTTCATCTTTTACATACTCCCACATTTCGATCCAGGCTTAAATTTCTTGCCACACTTCTGTGCAACTGGAACCAAATATTCCCAGCCCTCTATGACATAGCTACACAAGCATGGCACGCCAACCATGTTCATCGCCACGCAACATTCGAGAGATGGTGAATCCTCCATCCCTGGGTCGACAATATAATCCTCGCATTCAAGGGCCACATCTTGCACTTTTGTAGCGCAACGGGTTTGAGCTAACGCTTGGTCGCCAGCTAGTATCAATATTGCAAGAAAAGTTACATAAACCCTAACCCTAGGACTCATTTTTATGTGATCACTCCAGAATTTGATGCCAATTAATTTGGTTCAAGTCTTGGTGGCGGCTAAAATGTGTAATGTGTATATATATATAAAATGAAGGGAAGCAACAAAATTGGGTTCACAAATATTGTGTTACCCCAGACTAAATTGACAAAGCTTTGGCTTGAATTTAGAGCATGATATTGGTATGTGGCTGTGTAGATGAACAACCTTTCTCGAGAATTAAGTTC